GAATATACATTCGTATATATATATAATAATAATCAATAGTTGCGACCACTCGTCATGTACATCCAACCAAATCTCCACGCGCAGATGATTCTATGTGGCTTAGCCACTAGCTACGAACTTTTTCGTCGTCCCATTGTGTGTAAAGTGCAGTCGACTAGTAATTTAGTGAAACCTGAAGCCATAACACGGCAGTGGACTTGATGTTTGGATTCGAATCGTCGGCTATAGGACACAGGCCGACAAAGCAGCTGTGCAGTAAAGCACGACCAACTCAAAGTCACCAAAGGTCACAGATGCGACCCGGAACAACAATAGCCTGCCTAGCCAATCCTATCCGGCCACTGCTCCATCCACTATGTCCACTTTCACTATCTCTATCACTATGCTCACTAATCTCACATATCTCACAACATATTAAGACCGACGATACAGTCTCCTCGCGTACAGTGGCGCCCCCTCAGCCCGCGGTCGGCCGTCGTCGACATTGAGTTTCTCGTCGAGTGCACCGTCACCGTGGCGACGCCGTTTGGCGACGATCCGTGCGCGTCACCACCGTCTTACCCGTCGACTGAATCTGCGTCGACGTCGACGTTCCGCTTGCGTTAGCGCCGCCCGTGCCGGCGCCCGCTCGCGACTTGAACCGTCGCCGCCGACGAAGTCCACTCGTCGTCGTCGAAGCATAATCCGCGGAAGGGTCAGCCGCCGGCGCGGAAAGGAAACCTCGGAAATCTGCGCCACCTTGGCGCGCAGTGCGCCCCCTGCGCCTGGAACTGGCGGCGTCGTGCGAACGCCAGGCGACGTTCGGATCGGTAGAGCATCTCAGAAGCTCGGAGATCTGCTTGAAGCGGAGCCTTCGCCACCGGGCCTCGCTGCTCGCCTGCGTTCTTGTCGGGTGCCAGCGCAGCGCATCTGGCGGTAGTCCGTTGATCTCCTCGCCGGTGGCCGTCACGGGCGCAGGCCGAGCACCTCGTACAATCTGGATGTTCATAGCTCCGGCTGCTGTATTGGTAGTGTGGCCGCGGTCAAGTTTCGTGGACAGTGTTGCGCTTACGACTGACTGGTCGGTAACTCCGAGCGTTGCGCAAAAAAGAATTCTCACTGACGGATGTAGATGAATGTTGGATTCTCTCCAGTTTCTCTCTCTTCTCTCTCTCTCTCTCTTGTGTGTCTCTTTGCCTCTCTCTCTCTGCATCTCTCACTCTCTCATCTGCCTCTCGATCTTTCTCCGGTCTCTATTCTACCGCTGTCAGCAACCACAGCGCTTCATTCCGTTCTCTCCCGTTGTGCTCGAATATCGTGATACCACAACGACTGCGCTCTCCGCCTCCTATTCGACCTTATAAAACGCCAGACGCGTCGGTTCGTGACGTACGAGCCGACGAGAATAGTTGCGAAACGTCACGTGCGCCGTTGCGACGAACAATAGAACTGGGCTGCGGCACGGGTTTTTGTGTGATCTACAACCGTGATAAAATCGCGCGTGGCGTGGGATGGCCCCACCACGTCTACCCATGCGTGCTGCGTGCGTACGTGCGTGTGCTGTGTGTTGCGTCGCGGTGCGTGCGTGCGGTGTGTCCGTGTTTCGCAAGCTCGTGTGTGTGTCAATAAAGGTGGAAGCGTCGTAGCGACCTCACACTGCTGCTTTTCGAGAGGTTATGCGAATCATTATAGATTAAAGCTCGGTATTTTAGATTATCTAGGCTGTCTGAGCCGTTCAATGCCGTTTACCCTCACCACCCGACCTATATATATACCGTAGCTTTGTCTTCTCCCCTCTCTGTGTCTGCCCTGCACGACCCTGTCGCTCCGCTTCCTCACTGTCTCCCTCTCTCTCTCTCTCTCCTGCTCAGCTCTCTCTACTCTCTCTCGTCTCCTCGTCTCTTCATCTCTCTCTCTCTCTCTCTCTCGTACCTCTCTTGCTCTCTCTCTCTCTCTCTCTCTTTCTCTCGTACGTCTCTCGCTAGCTTCTCTTTGCCTTCTACTCTCTCTCTCGTACTCTCGCTAGCTTCTCTTGCGCTCTCTCTTTGCTCTCTCGTACCTCTGCTGCTCTCTTGCTCTCTCTCTCTCTCTCTCTCGTACTTCCGCTAGCTCTCTTTGGCTCTCTCTCTCTCTCTCTCCTCGAGTTACTCTCGCTAGCTCTCTTGCTCTCTTCTCTCTCTTCACAGCCGCGCAGTATACACAACAGGGCGCGCTTGCGCGCACACACACACCGCACACATGCATGCACGCACTGCACGCAACACACCACCCGCACACACACACCACACGCACACACACACACAAACACGCACGCACGCCACCACGCAACGCACGCAGCGCACGCACGCACACTACACACACACAAATCACACGCATACAAAGCTGTTTGACTTGATGACGCTGATGCGGCGTATCGCAGCCACTCGCTCGGAAGCGAGTGAATTTCGCAACACCACCAGTCAGCATCATCGAACAGCAGTCACCACCTCATCCCACCCATCCTCCCCGCGCACGTTAATTCCCCGGATGCGCGGCAATCTAAGGGCACAAAGCAACGTCACGCGTTGCCATGGCGTAGTCACGCGTTGACTCTGCTAGTGACGCTGATAGGGTCTATGTCCCCTAGGGTACTATCGGAGGGTACCCTGGATACGGTTCGATATATCTGAAAGTACCTCGGGGTACTATACGATATGTCGCTGCGTACCCTGCATTGGCCCACCGTACCTTGACTTTCAGCCAACTGATGTCGTAATACATATACTCTGTCAAGTTACCACATCACATAGAAGAAATCGCAAAACATCGCAATCCAATTAAAATGCATGCTATGTTTGACTATATTTTTCTTTTTCCTTTTTTTTAAACGAAGAGCTAGCTTTAGCCTTTTATATTTTAGTTTTACAACATCGGTAATACATCGGTTACAAGTCAGGGTACGGTGGGACAATGCAGGGTACGCAGCGACATATCGTATAGTACCCCGAGGTACTTTCCGATATATCAAACCGTATCCAGGGTACCCTTCGATAGTACCCTGGGGGACATAGACCTTATCAGTGCTAGTGCCGCGCGTCGCCCACGAATGTTGAACGATGGGATTTGCGCGACGACTCTTGCGCAAAGATTTCTTTCCGCGTGTGCGACGAAGCGCATCACCTAATTCCACTCTCCTAAGACAGCCCATCCCCTCGTGCTGGTAGTCCCTACACTCGCCTTAATCTCTACTGCCAATAGCGCTGACACAAGCAGACGAACGCGCGAGTACCGTGACGTCAGACACGCCCCCCTCGCAGAGGCGGTACCTTCCTGTCCGTTCCGCTAATCACCCTGTTTGGTTCTGTGTGTGCGTTCGTAGGTCAGGGACGGGCACGCGGGCAAAAAAACCATTAAGACTAGCAAGCGAAAAGGCAGTTAGAGTAGGCCCGTAAACAAAAACGAGCGTACGGAAGGACAGAACTGGTACACGACTAAACAACCAGGCGTGCACTTAGTTTGGCGGCAAATATGTAAATAAACACGCAAACAGACAAGTGAGGTCGACAAATCGATTCGCTTAGTATTCAGGCAGGAAATTAAGGCACTGCACGTAGGCAGGCAGGCAGGCAGAAAAGCACGTTTTCAGGCAGGTAGACGAGTTGGCGGACAGTGAGGCATGCAGGCTGGCCGATCTTACCCGCTGAACTTTTACCCCGATCCCAAAATTTCACTTAGTCGTTCCGCCAAGCACTCGCACCAATGTACTAATGTGCAGAGATATTGCGGGCTGGTCACTCGTCGCCTTCGCCGTCAAAGACAAATTCACACAATGTTTGTCAGCCGATCTTACAAGCTTAAAAACGAAAAGGTGATGCCCAAAGGTGATGTCCATGCCAAAATCCCATATCGGTGTATCGCTTCAGCCACAGGATCCCGTCGTTCTCTGCCGCTAATTTAACGTATGTGAGCAATGGCGGGTCGTTCGTCTCCGCAGCCACACAAGACAAAGCCTTTTGTCCTACAGGCTTGACCATGCAGAGGCATAGCATTTGAGTATATTCATGCTGTATGTATGAGAAATGTTCATCGTCTCAACTCTATTTATGAATAGGCCTTCTTTTGAATTTTTTTCGGTAAAATTCGGAACTAGAGTGCACTAATTTGCATTATGCGCGCAAGATAGATGCATGCTTCGTGGACGTCTAGAAGTCATTAGAAGTAAGATTGGTCTTGTCGTGTAATTGTGCCATTGAGTCAGTGAAATCCGTTGAATTCCATCCTTTGAATCACAAAGAGTTTATGTTCAATAACAAAATAACTTACAAAATCCTCACTCATAATGAACAAAACAAATGGCTTTCATCGGCAAGCAAACACATTCTATTCACGTGATTACAAAAATGTCGATTATTAAATTTGATATTTACATTCGCTCGTCTTCTTCGCGTTTTGTGTCGGAGGCGTCGGCGTTCGAGTCCTGCGGTATGTAGAGCATTGCTAGCAGCGTCTGCTCATCGTGGATCGCGCAGTAGCTCCGCCGCGGCGAGCCGCCCGCGCCGCGTCGCGACGTATGGCCGTCGGCCCTCAGTGCAGACGCAGCCTTCACCTCCAACGTGGAGCCAACGCTCTAAGTGGACAATGCTTCTAACTGTGGAGCAAGCTTTCTAACGAGTGGAAGCAAGCTTCTACGAGCCGTGGAGACCAACATCTAACGCGTTGCGCCCAGCCTCTGATGTGATCTGTGCGCGATGCCTGTCCAGCCCACCCGATCCTCGCCCGCCGTCGCGTGTCTGCCGCGCGTCCCACCCGACGGCATTCACAGCGCCTCTGCTCGGGGCACAAGCAGGCGGCCTCTGTCACAGGCCTTGCCGCGTGCACCTCTACCACAGTACTCGCCGCGCACGCCTCTGTCACAGGCCTTGTTTTTCCTGCGTGCACCTGCTACCGATCAGTACTCGGCCGGCGCAGCCGCCATCTGATCGACGGCCTTAGCCAAGGCGTGCACCTCTACCCCAGTACTCGCCGCGGCCGACGGTGTGGCTTGTCCACAAGGTCTTGCCCGCGGGCGCCCGAAGCTCTACCACAGTACTCCCGCGCAGCCTCCGTCGACAGGCCACCGGCCGCACGACGCGTTGGGCGCCGGTCTTGCGGAACGCCATGCAGTGCAGGTGCGCGAGCTTCTCGTAGCGCCACCTGCGGAAGCCGAGCGACTCGACGGCGGCGCGCCACGCCCGCATCTGCGGCGCGTTGCGGTTCACGTGCTTCGAGTCGGGCGTGACGACGACGAGCAGACCCCCGTCGCGCAGCAGCGCGTGCGCCGTGCCGCAGCAGCGCCACCTGGGAGCGGGCGACGGCAGGTACTCGAGCAGCAGTGAGAAGACGACGACGTGGAAGGCGTTGCGCGGGAGCGTGGCAATCGTCGGCGGCAGCGCGTCGATGTACGTCGCCATGGCGACCGACTCGGGCAGCGGCGGCGACGGGACGAGGTGGACGAAGTCGCATTGATGCACGCTCTGAGGAGAGACGAAATCGGCGGATGCAATCATCTTAGTTACTTCGCAGTTCGCATCGCATCACATTGCATGGCATTGCATTGCATTGCATCATATTACGTTACACATACAATACCTTCCCTCGTCTTATATTCATAATCTTGCATCAAGATTTCAAGATTTCAAGATTTCAATATTTTTTATTCGTGCTAAACGGATAACTCAGACAGTGCACAATTAAACAGTTGTAACTTTGTTATTATAAAGCACACTTCGGTCATCTAGTCAGCCATACACATTAGTTAAAGTACATAAATTATTACATTCCAAGACACGATGTTGACGTAATATCAAGTTAACGTAATAGCGATACAACTGAGCAATAAATATTGTGCAGGTGATTTGTCACCCAAAATATCAGCATATCAACAATCGATGTGACCCCATAGGCTTATGAAAATTGTATAAATTAATGTGAGGTAAAGGAAATATTGTGAAACAAAAGTACCATTGCATTGCAGTAACATTGTAACTACTATTTTTACAAGTGTAGTGACATAAAGAGGATGCAAGACAGGAGGAAGACCTGCACAAAAATATGAGAAGTGAAGATAAGAGATGAATCCAGCACCAAACCGCTCTGAAATTGAATAGAATTTACCTCCATTGCTGGACTGATGTCGATTGCAACAGTGCAGAACTCGCTGAAGTCTTTGAAAGGATTATAGCAGCTTCCCACATCCAGCAGGTATAGCGGTGTACATGCTGACCTGCACACACAAGCAAAATGAGGAGGTTTACGGGTTCGGCTAGTATAGGTTAGTAGGTTTTCAGCAGTTACTCTAACACTACGAGCTACCCTAGGCAAACTAGATGAGTAAAAGGTTGAATGAATGCACTAGTATTTCACCTACGTAAATGCAAACCTGACATGGTATCATTATAATGTCTTTTTATTTTTGTAATGCAAAAGATTACATAAGTATCAATGCTTTTCTTGGTAACCTTACATGGTACTGGGGTCAATATCCTTTCTTGAGAAAGGCTTGTTGATTGAGAAATTTTCCTCAAACTGTACGTGGCACGAGGATCCTTCGCCTCTTTCAGCACGACTTCTCTTTGCAGCCTCTTCTATGAACAGTCTTCTCCTCTCATCCTTCGCCAGAGCTTTTTTCAAACCGTCATTGTAGAAAAACTCCAAGCAAGTGTTTTTGCACCACTGCACAAACATAACAACAAATATTTATAGTTGGGCCTTACATAGCATATAAACCTATAGTACTCTATTGTACACTAATTAAGTATCAATTAGAATCAAAAATAGGATATGCATGTATCATAATTATTATATATATATATATGATACATGTATACAATGTCTTCTGTATGTATGTGCATTCCCAGCTGAGCGATATAAATTATGTGTAAAGACCTGACTATCACTCCACATCTACAATTAGAAACCTGCAATGATCTTCTTGGATGTATGATGCATACTTGAATAGTAACAGTAATATCATTGCGCAGACATGCACACACACACACACACACATACGCATACACGAACGCACGCATGTATGCACACAGGAATCCCACTATGAGTACGTATACCATGATCCTACTCTCTGGAGCCCCTGGCCTCTCCCAGTGTCCGGTGGCAAGGGAGTACATCGCAGTTGAGTATTCTCGCCTCATCTTCTCATCCTTCAAATGTTCCTGCCACACAGGCTCCCATTTCCCATCAGCTGTAAACAACACAATCAAACTATCAAAACAATGACTACAATGAATATCACAGTGATTATTGAAGCAAGGTGAATTACATCCTATAACAAGGGGCAGCAACTTATAACTACAGTAGCCCAGTTACCCACTAGCCTTTCGCTTTGCAACAAGTTGCGGACAGAAGGGCTAGCTATAGAGTACCGAAGTGTGACGTCACGTTGTCAAGACAACGTACGGGCTGGTTCTACACAACCCACTGGCTCCATAACATTAACTGCGTGAAAATGTTGTGCGTACGTAAAACACGAGTGTGTGCGCTGCAGACAGCGGTAAAGCATCGGTAGCAAGTCGATCTTACAATATTTAATTAATAAAAAAAATTTTGGAATTATTTTTTCGTTAATTTTATTATTTTTTTCATTGCTTTTCACTTCCATTCTTTGGAAATCTATAAAAACTGCAATAATGACTCTCAGAATGATGGTTACAATCGGGTACAAAACACGATACGCAGTTAATGTTACCAGAGCATATATGATTGTGTAGAACCAGTAGGTTCGTTGTCATGCCACCGTGACGTCATCACTTCGGAGCTCTATAAGCACAGGAGCGAATATATTATAGTACAAAATTAATATAGAGTACAAACATACTTTTGAAATCTTGTCGAAGTTTTGCATGAGTACTTTTGATAACACCGGTCAGTTTTGCATGTTCCTCTCGAGTGCACCCCTTCATTGCAGCTCTTCTCAGCGTGAAGTAAAACAAAACGTGGTATTACTTATAAATACATAAATACTCGATGTACACTTCGCGTTTGAAAAGATACTCCGAACAGATGTTTTCCTTGCTGCTGCAGTGCTGCAAGTTGCAGTCTTGATCTTGTTGAGTACCGTACGTTGAGAAGCCTCAATAGGCGAATTACGGAGGGTGGGGCGAGAGCGCTGAAACACAGGCACTTGGAACGTCTCAATAAAAAAAAGAAAGGTATATGAACACAAAATGTATTTACTACCAAAGTCTTAATGTTTCTCTACTCTATTTCGCCTATTATTGTCGACAACTTGCTGTAAATGCGGTTCAAATGCTCATCTGCAACACACAAGTACACCGTATGCACGTTCTGCGCACAAACAACAAGAATAATAGCTAGAGTTCTATTATTCTATAAAGATAATACTATTATTCTAAGTGCCTGCATGTGCACTGATATCGAAAGACGTTAGTGGCGAGGTTTGACGCCAGATTGAAAGGTGTCAGTATCTTCAGCAGAAATGATCGAGTGCTTCCTCAAGCAAGGCGATTCCACTCATAAGCTGTCCTCACGTAAAATTAATTCTTATGCTGTTCGGTACGACTGAACGGAGCTGGAAGTGGAACATGCAGTGCAACAGAGCGAAGCTGGTAAATTTGACCCACCATAACTTCGGCTGAGAGGGTCTATATGTCACCCAGGGTACTGCCGGAACGTACCCTGGTACTACGGTATCTAATATGCCGGACCGTACCCTGGTACTATGGTATCTAATATGCCGGACCGTACCCTGGTACTACGGTATCTAATATGCCGGACCGTACCCTGGTACTACGGTATCTAATATGCCGGACCGTACCCTGGTACTACGGTATCTAATATGCCGGACCGTACCTCGCCTACTCCACTAACGATCGAGTCTAGGAAGTCGCCTACGCCTACTCCCTAACCAAATCAAATAGTTAACAGGGGTACGTTCCGATATACCGGACCGTACCCAGGGGCCAGGGTACGTTCCGGCAGTAACCTGGAGGCTGGGGACATACTCACATAGACCCTATGAGCATGTCATAACTTCGACCCACTTTTTTAATCTCGACCCACCCACCAGGCTGGGAAAGGGTACCACTTGTACGTATAGACTATAGCCTATGGCTATATACGCCTACCTAACCAGCTAACGATGATCATGAAAGACGAAGTATGGCGAAGACGAAGTATGGCGTTTTCTCGCACCAGCCCCAGGCAGCCGAAGATTCCCTTTCTAGTAAACGTCCTGCTTACCAGATTCAAAGGTAGGCCCTATATTGAAATGTGTAACCTCATCCGATTGTCATCAGGTGTTTTCATCATAAAACTGTATACAATACATATTCGATTGCAAACGTTGCTGTATCATCTAACATTTGATTGGTCGTTTTTGTTGACATTACTTGTGATTCATTGGTTGTCAGGGACTATTGAAAAGCTTATTTTTTAGTTTCAATAAAAATGTTGTTCTAAGTTACCGATATTCAGTTGTATATTCGCCCGCTTGCATAAAGGCTGCCGTCACGATCGGTCACCCGGTGCACTCTATTGCGAATATACATGACCGGGCGAATCTCGTGACGGGTTGTTATGTTATAACTCTCTTCTGTGTCCACCAAAGATCGTATAGTGCCAGAGGCCCTATACGGAGGCCTCCGGCACTATACGATCTTTGTGGTCCACCTATGACCGATAGAAAGCGGCTAGTTTTGTACAACCGGGCGAAAAAAAGGTAACAGGTTGAAGTGGTTGGAAACATTAGGTTTTACGTCACGTGGTAGCGCCCGCTAGATTGGTTCCAAGTCTCTTCGTCAATGTAAAGTGAAGTGAGTGAAGAGATAAAGAACCCATCTATAAACAAGAATCCAAGATGGCAGCCTGCACTTATGTCATCGCGTTTATCAATTTATCTCATAACAAATGCATAGGATCTAAATCCGACTTATTTGTTTATTCACTACACTACAGATGAACAGCTTACAGATGAATGACAACAGGTATGAGATTATGTACACAACGTTAATTAATTCTTCCACGTAATCGTTATCGAAATATGGACGTCAATACACTTGGTGACGTCCTAGATACAATAATGTAACCCAAACCCAAGAGGATAGGGTTACAAAGTGTCCCTATCCTTTTCTGCGGAGGAATGCCCGAGTGGATCACTCGGGCCGGTTTGCTGGTGCGTTTTCAGATACTAGAACTTCCAAACTGGGTTTATTCTAAACACGAACCTTTCTCCGCTATTCGGGAACTTACAATGATCGCAATTACTCTGTATATAAACTAATATATACGCTGTTACGAAAATTCAGAAGGTGGACGAGCGGGGCGAAATTACTGAGCGCTCATTGTTTGACGTGCTGTGACTACGCATTCCCAATGCGCATTAGCGATTCGGCAAAACGGCAGTGGGCGGTGGGCGCCGCCCTCCCGATTGGTCGGGTTGCCGACTCTCACTCTCACCACCGAAGTACGCATCCAGGTCAACAGAAAATGCGCTCCAGCTATGACTCGCGCGCTCGTCACTGGGTCTCGAATTTTTGTAAGCAGGTTATATTCAGTTTTAATACACGAGTAATGTGGGCGATACAGTATATTCCGTCAGAGTAGCGGAGACAAAGGGTTCGTGTTTGAGAAATAAACGGGTGGTCGAGAGATGAGTGTGGAGTGTGAGTAGATAGTCGTGGATGGGGGGGGAAGATGTGGGAGTTCGTACGGAGGGAGTATGCTGAAATGGCGAGGGCAGAGACGCCGTAGAGGGTCAAATACCGGCCGAGTGATTCACTCGGCATTACTCGCAGAAAAGGATAGGGACAGCGGCTTTGTGTAACCTATGCCTCTTGGTTTGGTTAGCATTATTGTATCTAGTCGACCGTGCCCTATAGGGCATGAACCCCGTTAGCGCGGCGTGAGGTACAAACAAGGAGACTCGTGTCACAGGATAGCAAATACTAGATTTGGCATATAAACAGATGAGGAGCTGGGATTCAAGCTCGAACATGATGAAGGAACAATGCTGAAGTATGAAGAGATGATATTTGAGCACGAGGGGAGGCAGGTTAATATTGGAGAGTGGGGTAAGATGCAGGTCAGTGTAGCGAGAATAGCCAGTTGGGGCAGAGGGATCCGGAGATACGACTTTATATGAAGAGGGATGGGGGTAGGACGCCGAAGGCCTAAGGCGCAAAGCGAGGACGGGCTGAGGACAGGAAGATTTGAAAGCGCCCATCGGGCGGGTGTATGTGGAGCCAGGGTCGGTGGTAGGCGTGGTGTGGGGTGGTCTCGAGTGCGAGGAAGAAGGTTGAGGATTACGTATGATGAGTAGACGGAGTGGCTTCGTTTACATACTATAAATAACTACTTACTAAACCTTGGTCGAGCGGATGGTCGGGGCTCGCGCGCCGTTAAGCCAGGCGAGATGAGACGGTAGAATGAGCACAGTTGTAGCGAGGGATGAAGGAAAGACATGCGAGTAGTGTGGACGACCCCGGAATACACTGAATAATTATAATTCGCCTTATTAAAGCCGGAATACGCAACTGTGATATGTGGTCGAGATCGGGGCTATAGGGCAGGGGTAAGTACTAGGAGGGGAACGTAGACAGCGGATAGATAGGGATAAGGACGTGTCGCGTATAGCGCGGGCCGTTAGCGTGCCGTGACGGGGCGAGAGGTTGGGGGGGGAGGGGGAAGGGGGGGGTGGGGTGAGGTGGGCGAGGCGTAGCGAGGGATGAGGGCGACATAGTGGGTATGGCGTAGAAATGAGTATCGAGCGTCGAGTGAAGTAAGGATACTAGCAGGGTGTAGAGAGAGTGAGTGGTGGTCAGTTAAACGTGCGGCCGGGCCATGAACTGGACGTGCAGTACCAATCTGGGATTTGGGACCGCAAATATAGAAGTACCGCGAGCACACTTAAACTAGTGGAAGCTGGGGACTCCATTGGCCCATTGCACTGGGGGCCAGTTGGCATCGCGGGGGTGAGCTGTCGGTCAGTGAGTGCAACGAGTGTGGCCAATGGGGAAGAAAGGTAGCCGGCCGCCAGCTTGCCTCCCATTCTGTAGTATGCCATGGCATTAGACTAACCCTATAGAGAATAATAGGTCAGTGTCGCGGGTCCAGGGACGACAGGGCGATAGCGACAAAACTATTTGAATATGAGGCAACGAAACTGTTTGCCTCCACAGAGGAACGGACAGCAGGTCAGAGCGATGCGCGGAAATCATGTTCGTGCTCTTTTAAACACTAATTATCTAGCATCATTGGACGTATATCTATTCAGGTCTAGCCTAGGCTATATTTATGAACACTTTCACAGAACTTTTATCAAATTCTTTTTCCTCAGATTCTTACCACTGCTTGCAAAAGCTCAATCTCAGGGTATATGCGGGTATCGGAAAAACGATTAAAGTTACAGACTGCGCGTGGACTAGGCTCGTCGTTTTGGGGTGTATGGGCCCGCCAGAGGAAGACAAGTGCTGCCCAAGTTGGATATGCCACTAACAGGAAAATGCATTCGGGGCGTCCGGCAGTGCATCCTTTTGGAAAGCTGCAGCAGCAAAACGTTACGTAAGCGGCCAGAAGTCAGGAGATAGCCACGGAGCTGTATCGCGGGCAATGCGACAGGCTCTTAGCGAGTTTGCTTTGCTCTAAACAATTGTTTGATTAAGGAATTACGTTGGCATGGGCTACTACATATGCCATCGGGCCTCAGGTGGTGGAAACCTTAAGTCTAGAGCGACGTGCACCTGGGATGGAAACCCCCACTGCTCCCTGCAGAACAGCATCCTGCGGACCAGCCGTATGCCCGCTCGCAATTCACTACAGTACCGGGGGGCTCTAGCTAACTTACGCCGTTTTTTCCTTTCGTAATAGTACGTTGTGTACAGGGTAGTGTCCAGGTTGATCCTAATGTATTCGGCAGGAATTTTTGAGATTGTCTTATACGTTAGTGGTGAGTGGTCGGGCGGAGATATGGCGTTGTGGCGCTTGGTGCTTCTTCGTCTCCTTTTTCCCGCCCCGGCGGGTACGTGGGTGATGGGGAGGGGGCGGAGTGGGAGGGCATCGAGATGGTAGTGGGTTGGGCGCGTCAGCTGATCGAGGCATGCCGTGTCGGCGAGGCGCCAAGCCGCGATTGGCGCGGCTCCGGAGTGGGGGACTTTATCACGATGTGAGTCGGATTTTACAGCGTGAGCCGCGGGTCGAGCGTATGCGGGTACGGGCGGCGGGAGGGACCAGGGTAGGGTTTCGAAAGTGAGGAGGCAGTGGGCGGACGGGTACGCGCGATGTGGGGACTCGGATGGACGTGCTGGCAGATGAGTGCGGGTCGTGGGGACGGTCCGGGACGGTGGGGTTAGAGCGCGGGATCCGGCGCGTGCGGAGCGCTTGCGTAGAAATAGTAACGGGTTTACTTGACGCGCGCAGGGGCGGGGAGATGGGCGGCGGTCAGGGCCACACCAGTGTGCGTGTGGCGGCGGCCGGGGTGGGGTGGCGTTGGGTGGGTGGGAGGGGGGCGGACGGGGATCGGTCGCGGGCTGGGGAGTGCGGCGTGGAGGGACGGCTGGGGGGACCCCGTGCTCCACCCCGTGCGCCCCGCCCCTCTTGGGTTCGTGCCGGGCCTCCACCGCACCACCCACCCCTCCGGCTCCGCTCGCTGGCGCACACACGCCCGCCTTGGCCGTTACGGGTGTTGATCAGGCGCTACGATTGCTGCGCACCAGCTGCGATACTGGAGTTGATGCACAGGCGACGATTCCTCGGCATACGCGCTGCATACTGGTGTGGTCGAGCCGACGGCATCTTCGCATGGCCTCGCGTACTGGTAGTTATCAGCGCGACGATTCCTCCAGCCCCTCGCGTACTGGAGTTGCATCAGGGCCACACGCATTCCACCGAGGGTGAGGCAGCTTTTTTCACCTATACATCTTAGTCAAGTGAAAAAATTAATTTTTCTTCGGGCTTTTTTTGCAACCCCCGCCAAAATTTGGGGGCTACTTCATTTCCAGGGCTCTTTTCCACTTTCCAGGGGCGAATCTTTCTTTCGCCAGAGCTGTTTCCCTCAAATGTACACACAAGCACAGAGCCTAACTACAGCATCGGTGGCCGCGCACACGACCCAGCACAGCCGTCAGCACGCACGCACGCAGCCGCACCGGCACGCACACACAGATCCAACACACACACATGACACCACGACCAGACAGAGCAACAGTCAATCTATTCAAGACAGTTATTCAATCAGACTAGACAGACTAACATGATAGATCACAGAGGCGTCACAAGTCAGCGAACCACAAGATGCCCGGGCTGTGAATTAGTGGCATAGTCAGGTCACACTGGTGTTCAGCTCAAGCACAGGAACTCGTTGGAGGCTATTACATACGGCGTGTAGCCCAAATTAGTGGAATATGGTCCGGGGCTTGTACGGAGCGGTACGGGATAGTGGAGCGATTCGCGACTGTAGTTTATACGCGACAGGTCTCTTGACGGCCTGGGGTCCAAGCCCGCGTAAGGGCCTGGCAAGCTGCACTGGGCGCTTTGAGAGAATGCGGCCCGGCGAGGCACGTGGTGAATGGCTTTGTTGGCACC